TCGTCTGTTTTGGTCTCCACTTTCTGCCCCCACCCCCTCACCTCCTTTGCCGCTTCCTCTGGGCTCCTGGCTCTTTCTGCTACTCCTTGGCTCCTTTTTTCTTTCAGCCACACCCCTAATCTTATGGTAGGAAAGATCTACACTTAGCCTTCTCGATCGACGGCAAAAAATCTCGGAGGTCCCGTGTGTAAGTTGCGCGAGTTAAAGATCTCTTGGTTGTCCAAAATCGATAAGAGTTGGCTTCGGCCGCGACCCGGGCAAAATTCAAAATTTCCTATCAACTGAAAATGTTTAATGTGTCCCACGTGCTCATATGACCTTATGCAGTTCTGAGCACCATAAAACACTAACCAAAGTATTTGATATCAATTTCAGTGAGAAAAATGCAATGTCCGATATGAATCTTTGTGTGCGTTACGCATAATATAAAAAAAAAAAAAAAAAAAAAGTGTATGAGCAAAAATCTATCTTCCCTCCCCGTGTGTACCACGTGGGTTCGAATCCTTCCCCTGAGCACTGTCGGTATTGCAACGGACTGACTGGAAGCAAAGTAAAGACAGAAGAAGAGGTACCAAGTGGGGTGGGGGGGGGTCATGGGAAAACATAGAGATGAACATGAAGCATCATCAATACACAGACCCAAAATTCTTCACACATACAAAACAAACAACAACCCCAAAATCAACAAACATGATGAGTATTCAGGCCAGCATTCAGCGGATCTTCTGATTGGCCAGTGGTCGTCAAAACGAGTTTGATTCAATTTTCCCCCTTATGCAATTCCGCTTCTACAAAACGCGAGCCTAGCACACAAGAGACCACAATCAAAGCCTTCTTTAGTTCAGTTTTAGTAGAGGTTTTACGGCGCTCGCAACTGCATACGGTCATATGAGCGCCAAGGGGTAGATGTCAACAGAGAAGTCCTTACAGAGAATCAGACTTCCTCTGCTCCCCTCTCTAGCTTCAACAGCACAAAGTCTGCTTAATCAAAGCCTTCTATTGTTAGTATAGATTGTATAGCGCAGAGAGCTAGGTTGCTGTTGAGCGAGGATATGCCCTAACAAATATAATTTCATTATCACCTGTTGCAACAAACAATTCTACAATCAAGAAAGGGGAAGCTATTGTACGACACGAATACTATAAGCCTACAACATACCGATGTACTTAAATACCCAGCAAGCAAAGCAGCTTACATCGTTTCCGCAAAATCACTTTATAAAAAAAGCCTACGAAGAAACCAAAACCACTACACTTTGGCATGGACTGCATTCTTTACTACTGTCTAATATTATAAATTAAATATATCGGCCAAAAATTAAATTAAATATTTAAAAAAAATTAAAAAACAACCCTGTTATCATTCATAGCATTCCAAGAGACACAATAATAATAATAATAATATGCATTTATTGTTACTGAGTGGCCCCTGGGTCTGGGGAATATACACAAGACATGACCAAGCTACAAAGACACAAAGAAACAAACACACACATGTACGAACACACACACATACACAAGTAACTTCTGTAGGTTCTGATGTCACAACAACAACAAGAAAATTCACCGTCCGTAAAGAATCACAACTGTCGCACTCTTCCCACGTAATTTACACGCACGACATACAGAACACCTTTTCACACGCTAATATTTCATCTTTTCTTCTTCTTTTTTTTTAAAGTTTTGTATTAGCAATCTGTCTGTATTACTTGTATATGTACACACCCATCATGTAGGATTTGCAAGTAAAAAATCTGATGAAATAATGAAAGAACTCAAGCATCCATTTGATGCAACACAATCACAAGTATGGGTAGAGGGGGAGAAGGGGGAGAGGGGGAGGGGGAGAGGGGTTGCCAGAGGCAGGCCAAAGAGTAATCATAGCCATTCCATTAAAATGAAAAGGGTATAGAGAGAAAAAAAAAAAAAAAAAAAAATCCCAAGCAAAGCAAAGTTGTCAAAGATTGTGATACTTCTATGCCAGCGCGGTTCATTTCTTTTATTCTCGCTTTCTGCCCAAAAACTTAGACACAAAGACAGGCAAGGATAACATATCTCAAAATATCAGACAGTTTTTGTTCACAGTGAAAATGAAATACACCAGTCTCACAACCACAAACATGTACACACACACACACCCACTCACACCCTGTGTTTCAAGTGATCCCTATTAAGTCTCAAATCAAAGTCCACACCGACACACAGAAGAAAAAAAATACCCCC